TCAATATTATTGTAGTAATATTGAAGACTATTAGTTCGGTGTTCCTCACTTGTTGTCATTGGTTTTAACATTTTTAAACTGGGTTTCAATTCTTCAAACATTTCTCTTTCTTTTGCCCTTGCTTCTAAATGGTTGTTAAATCCAAATGTGTTAATCAAGACCATTTCCCAATTCTCCCAACCTCCATTTTCTCTAATACATTTATATACATTAAAATTATGCTTCGGATTTTCGGGATTACAGCACCTTGTTTTATGTTGATTTTTTCTTTCGATAAAGTCAGTCGTGTGTCCAATATACATATCTTTGACATTTAAATCCTTACAAACAATTTTGTAAAAATCTGTATTGCTATAGTCTATTGCTTTTTTTGGCATACTATCTTATAATATCTTATAAGTTCTTATATCTTTAAATATTATCAATTAAAATCTAACAAAAATTATCCCCATCCGAAAATATTTCGGATGAGGATGTCTTGAACCCCTTTTTTAATCAAAATCTACCATTATCTTTTATCAAAACAAATTTTAAACACCTCGTTTATATCACTTTCCATGAGATTTACAAATAAGAAGCTATATTTTTCTTCTGTTGCGTTGTCATATATTTCTAATAAAGTTTTCTTAGCATTGTGTATATTTTTGTCATCCATCAATAAATTCTTTTTGACTAACAAGGCTGAAAGTTCTTCTATCATTGTCTGAACTTCTTTGTAGTTTCTCATTTTAAAAAAGAACAGTTGCCTTGAATTTACCCTGATAATTGTTGATAATCCATTAAACTTTTGAGTGCTACTTATTATGTTGCATCCAAAATGTCTCCCTCTTATATACAAAGCATTGAGTAGAGAATTATGACGAGAGAATGACACACTATCAACAAAATCGTCTATAATGATTAAGACTGAAAACAATTGTTTGAAATCATGGTCTTTTTGATATTTAGTAATTTTATGTTGTAAGTCTAGAATGTATTCTAGGTCTTCCGGGTTGAAATCATCAAAATAAACTTTTTCCTTTTTGGTGTCTATCTTTAACTTTTTCTCTATGTAATCTTTTACCGGCAACCATACACTATCAACATTAATAGAACTTGAAAATATGAAGATACGACTGAAACAATCTCTGTATAAATCTAATATCATAGATTGAAGAAGGATAGTCTTTCCTGAGCCTGACGGCCCAACTACATTTTGTGAGAATGGAATTCTTGGAGCAACATCATATTTAGATTGTTTAAATTCATACTCCTTCATTTTAGCAGGTTTTACATATGGAATTAAATTATTATTCATTATAATTATTTAGAAATTAAATATATTATATAATATTGAGTGGAACTTCTAGGAACAGAGAACAGAAATGAAGAAGCATTCAATCCTCATAAGAAGTAATTAGTTTGTTGCCGGTCTTATGCCCCAAGAATTGTAGTGGAATTTCGCCAAAGAACAGAATTCAGTTTCTTTACCCCCCTCTGTGCTTGAATAAAATATAATTAGATATAAAACCTATCTAATTATATAGATGTACCACTATTTGAGAATATGGAGGAGATAGTTAATGATGATAATATTTATCCAGTAGTTATGAATAAGAAGTGTTGCTATTCTTTTCTAGAAGGTTTAAAGGTAATTATTTTATATTTTAAGAATTTCAATCGCTTTAATATAAATGCCACCCAAAAAAGCCAGTGAAAGGAAGTTTAAGAAAAAACCAGTGCCTGAAGACTTTGAATTAAGTGATGATGAACCAACAACTATAACATCAGATGAAGATAGGAAATTGACCAGCAAGTTCAAAACCTTTGATGGTCCCTTATGTTCTGGAAAGTTACAGTTGAGAAATGAAATTGAAAGCAATCCTAAAGGAATAAAATGCAAATGCAACCCTTGTAGTTTTAAAATTAGTAAGAATGATAAAACTGTAAATGTTAGTAGGGATGAGAACGGTGATATTACTTTAGATAGTGAAGACCATAGCATCAGCTTTAGGTGGAACCGCCAGATTACACCAGAAGACCAAAAGGCAGAAAGCACAAACAAAATGATAAGTGATGTGATGAACACTCCTAGAAACAATAACAAGAAACACAACTCACTAAATGATTTAGAATAATTACTTTAAAATGTATTACTAAAATTAAATAACTATTTTTAATTTTCTAATTTATTATATATCCTTATGGCACCCAAAGGAGTTGCAGAAATTGACTATGTGACTATAACATGCTAAGCAATATCTACGAGCATACAAAAAACAATAGTAAAATGTTGTCTGCAATATTGTCAAAACTGAATGAACTTTCAGAAGGTAAGGAAGTTGAAGATAAAGAAGAACAAAAGAAAAAGGTTGAAGAAATTTTTGAGAAGAGGGGCATTGGCAAACCTAGAGGCACTTTTGAAGAGAAACAGCAGCAATATTTTAATCTGGTAAAAACAGGAAAGATAAAGAACCCTGTAGCAAAAACTTTAGAATACTATCATATTGCCAAAGATGAAAAAGGATAGTATTTTATTTCTTCTTTTGCCAAAATAGATTGAAAACAATATTATATATTGACAATATTGACATACTGCTTTTGACATGTTTTTTTTGAACGAACTTTTGTCAAAAACACCCCACACAGCCCCCACCACCTAAGAACCAGTAGCACCACGAACAGACAACCAACCCCGCACCCCAACCCAGCAGGGAGGAAGATGGGCGAGGACATCATAGTAGGTAAGTACAATCTAACATATTCTAAATATTTGTGATGTTCCGGAGGCACTGCCATGCAATTTCTACGCATTTTTTTGTACAGTTTCCGAAATCAACATCTCAAGATACTTTGTTTTTTTCACTTTATGTGCGGTTCCTTCCAATAGCTCGTGGCAGGCTCTGGGGCTGACATCATCCAAAGGTTGCAAGACATATTGGTTCAAAGTCCCACATAGTGTTTGTGGAAAGGCACGCGATGGCGCTACGACTTTGCCGCATGGCGAAGATGTGCTCGGGAGGTGTCATGACAGAGGCACGCCTGGACGTTCTACTTCTTAGTCCCCACCTGAGACCGCCAATTCAGCCAGCTTTACTTGCGTGAAACGACTGGCTTTTATGCTAGCCGAATTCGCCATTTCAAGGGAAAAAGCTGGCAAATACGCAGCTTGAAGGACGGACATGGCTGCTTCTTCATCGTGCCGGTCGTCGTCAATACTGGGGGCAGCGCTTACAATCGCCCCATCATCAGCGACGTCCTCCTCAAGCACTTCTTCCCGAAGTTTGACCGAGCCACTTGGGGTGAGAGCACCAAGGGCAAAATTCACCTCCCAACTCCCTTAGGAGACGATTTTAACCTTGGAGCGCAAGGATGGAATGATGAAAGGGAGAAGGACTGCTGTTTGCACGTTTTTCATGGCATGTGTCTGATGTTTTTTTGCTGGCTGGCATTTTTGAACTTGCATTTGGTCATTGCAGTTTTGTTTAGCCCCGCAGGAGCTGGACAACATGGCAAAGGAGCAAGCCATCATGTACAACTTGGTGGGGCACGAGCTGGCAGAGGTGATTGTCGAGTGTGATGGCTTGGCTAGAAATCTTCAGGGCATGAGGGAAGACAATAAGCACGAAGACTTCCTGCTTGACATCTACTACAATGAGACGGTGCAGCAGACAGCACGGGGCTTCAAGCATGTGGGCGCCACGGTGGATGGCATCAAACGTGAAGTGGATAGCATGATGCTTGACCCGATGACAGATTGGGGAGAGAGTTCCTTGCCGGTGCCTGCGCACTTGTGGAAATTCCCACCCAAATAGCCCAAAAGTGGCTGACGGGGCTGACCCGTACAGGCAACAGATGTTGCGACAGTGCATGTTTGTTGGAAAATGACCTTGAGATGAACAGGGACAACCCTTGCAAACACTGCGTAAATGTTCAAACGAAGCCGACATGATGCCCGACAATATACCACATAAATTATAACATATTTTTTTGGATGATGTAAAGTGGGCAAGGTTATGCTGTTTGAATTTTTTGAGGGTTGAGGGTTGTTGTGGCTTATGGGGTATTGTTTGTTGATTATTTGTTTATGTAATTTTTAGCGGGTAATATTTCAACAAGATTTATCTTGTTGAAATATTGGATGTTCTTTTTTGGGGTTTGAGCTTATGGTTGATTGTTATGATTATTGATTGTGATATTTTTGTTATGGGTTATGTTGATGATTTTGTTGATGTTTTTTTGAGGGGATGTGTGTATGTTTGGGGTTGTGAGGGTTCAGGGTTCAGGGTTGGAAGATGGGCAAGGCCCATTCTAACTATAACATATTCTATGTAATTATTATACAATCGAATACACAGTAAATAGATTTTAAGGAATTAACTATAGACTCGTAGAGTATAGTCATACCAAAAACGCAGTGAGGCCATTCCGAGCAAAGCGCTCAGATGCCTTACGAAAACATTTGCCTAACCGTATGTGGCTTAAGTCGTGTTAAAACCACCCATCAACTCATCTCTGTCAGAACCAATAAGTGATGGCCTTCTCAAGGCTTCGAGGGGGGCAATATTCCAAAAAAGCAATTCACCGACAAAAGCGCGCCCCGAACGAACGTGTAACCTGCAGCTAGTTTTGCCAACCAAGGTTTTGTCGAACGTTGTTAGATGTTGTTAGTTGGGATACTGGTCACTTCATCCAGATGAGTGGGCCTACTGGAAGCTGAATGCACCTGGAGTACTGTCTCAGCTGAATGGACACGATATGACACGATGAACGAGCTTCAAATTGAATGCTTTAGCAAGTCTCGTCTTCGGTCAAACGGCTTGGGGCCAAGCAAACGATGCCCTTTTCGGCCACTTGTCGCCCAAAAGATCAGCCGAAAAATCGCCGAATGAGTTTCATAGCAAGCATGGATTCACAGGTTCTGTTGATCGATTGCCATCCCTTCTCCAACTTCCCGTGCGGGTGTCGCGGTGAGTGGGTGAGGTGTCGGTGTTGCCGGCATTCTGCGAACCGGTTCTCAGGTGGGCGCGCAGGGCATCACGGTCATGGCAATAGGCGCGGACGTCCGGTCAGACCGGTTCCGAAGAGGGTCTGTTGAAAAATGCTTGGGAGGGGAGGTGAATGTTAGGATCCCCAATCCGGATCTTTCAAGTCGATTCTGAGAGCAGTGACTGTTTTGCTCGGCGATTCGGCGGCCCCACTAGGCATCTTCAAAAGATTGTATATAAGACCACCTGATTCTGAGTTGGCAATCTTTTCCTCAGTTGATTCCTCTGTGACTTTGGTCAAGATGTCATAAGATCTCCACATTCATCTCTTTTTGAGTAGAGGCATTTCATCATCTCAACGTCAGGCAGACATGTATCATTGAAGCATATTGAAGCCTTTCTCACGTCAGAAAGACTCTAGAGAGCTGGATGGGCTCAATATACCTCCGAGATCGCTCGGGGTCGCTGCCTCCTGCCTCGTGAGATGAGTCGTGCCCGGGGGTCGCCGATGGCCAGGCCCCCAGGGTCAGAGGAAATGGACCAGGCCTGGTCACCGTGTCGCCGGTTTTGCCGGGGACGAAGCTTGATTCCTGGGTGTTGTGGTCCAGGTGTTTGAAGTGAATTTCTGTTGGCTCTGATTTGGGATCCGAGGATATCCGAGGCGTCAGGAAGGGAGAGTCCCCCCGAAAAAATCAGAAATTTAAGAAAACCACTTGGAGTAGGCCATCTCTGCTGGTTTTGCCAAATTAAATAAACGCAAAAATACATGAAAAAGCAACAGCAAAAAAAACAAATCCAAAAAGCAACAAAAAAGCAAATGAAAAAACAAAAGCAAAAAAAAAAATCCAAAAAACAAAAACCAGCAAATGAAAAAGCAAAAACAAAAAGAAAACGCGCGCCGGAAAGGCACCAAAACGAAAAAGCAAAAACAGAAAGGACGCCTACCAAAAAAAGCGAAAAACCGCGAAAAAAAAAACACCCCACCGAAAGAAGCGAGAAACACAGCGAGAAAAAGGGACGCCCACCAAAAGAAGCAACGGAGCCCAGCCACCAGGGAACTGCGGTAAGCTGTGCCGAGGCTAGGCCCATTGTTATTGTTTTTTGTTTTTGTTTTTTCATTTGTTTTTTTTGCTTTTGGATTTGCATTTTTTGCTTTTGTTGCTTTTTGGATTTGCATTTTTTTGCTTTTGCTTTTTGTTGTAGTTGCTTTTTTTCTTTCTTTTTGCATTACTGCATCCTCTTATTTTCAAGGTTCACAGAGTTAGCCTGGGTCCGGCAATGTTAATCACAGACAGTCCACAAACTCAGTCACCCATTCAGGATCCATCTAGCATACAACCTTCACTCTCCACTCATTTGTGGAGGCAATTCCTTTCATTGTGTCGAGTCACTGGCGTGTAGCTTGCTAACCCTAGCTATCCTCCTAGTCACTGGCGTGCGCTTCGACCAGGACGCCCGAGCCGCCCGGGCCCTCGACGGTCGGATCGACGCACCGAGGATCGGCCGGATCGCCCTGCGGGACCTGCGGAACGCTGGGGAACCGAACGCGGAACCGAACCCAACCATCTTCAAGCGTCCTTCAACCGGTGAACACTTCAAGCACCGCACCAAGCAACCGAGAGGATTGAAGGGGGCCCTGTTGTTCAAGGGGTCTCTCAAGGTCCTCTGTGGGACAGGAGGGGAGTCGAGCACGCCCTCGCGCAGGTGATTGACATGAGCCACGCCCTTGTGCGTCCGCCCTCGTCTACGGCGCCGTGAATTTCGCGGCGGTCGGGTGCGTGAATTTCGAGGCGACGGGGGTGTAAACAGAAGCTGGAGACCTGCCCAGGTGATGTAGTATTTTTTTCCATTTCATGCAGCATGATGCCAAGGGGACCTCATCAATCAAGCCTTTCATGTCATCATGTCCAGTCTTGCAACACAATTACAACACTCATGTCTGACCCTGCACGACGAAACTCAGGAAGTCTCTTAAGTATTCTTAAGTAACACACACACACACACGATCAGCTGGGAAGGGTGATCAGCTTGGACGATCTTTTCAGCTGCCTTTCAATGCGCGGCGAGAAACCCACGGTGGTCCGATGGATCCGTCGATCCAGTTGTCGGCGATCGACACAGACACAAGGGTCCATGGTTGCTAAACGTGTCTCAGCGTGGATCGAGTTCTCTTGTTTGTTGTTTTATGATCCCTCACTGGTGGAAAGTCGTTGAATCATTTTGACGCTTTCTTTCGGCGACCAGAACCCGTTTACTCTTCGAAATCGAAAAAGGTTTGCGGAATCCGTCGCGGACAAAAGGCCGAAAAGGCTTCGGGCCATCCGTCGCGCCGCTCAAGTTGTGCCTTTTCCAGGGAGGAGCCACAAATAACTATATATACCAGCCTTTTCTGGTGTTCTGAGTCTTCATCAACTCTAATCTCTAGGTGAGTCAAATGAGGCTTGGGCCAGATGAACACACGATATATACAGCAAGTCACGAAAGCCCAAAGACGTGTTCAGATGTCAAGCCCAAAGACCCTTTGGCTCAATATCCATAGCCAAGATCGGAGCCGCGGACCCGCGGCTCCATGAGAATCCAGGCGCGGGGATGCACCGTCGGCGGAACACCGGCCGTATCGGAAGAAGGCACCGTCACAGTCGGAGGATCTCCAAGGATCTCCAAGAGAGTCATATCGGTGGTTGCTGATCAAGGACCCAAGATTATCCAAGTGATCTCTAAAAGAATTATTATCACTTAGATTCACTTAGTGATCAAGGACCCAAGATTATCCAAGTGATCTCTAAAAGAATTAT